AACAAAAAAGGAAAACACAAGTAGTACTAAAAATCCAGTCAAAGGATAATGCATAATAGTCTATCTAAAAATCACACACAGGTGGCTGCTTACTGAGGGAAGGCTTGCCTGAAGAGAAAATGTCTTTGCCTGCTTGCGGAAGGGTAGCAAGGGGGGCAGCCTGGCCTCCTCTGGGAGGGAGTTCCAAAGTTTGGGAACAGCAACATTCATTCCATCAGACACACCTGTGAAGGTGGCAGGACCGAGAGAAAGGCCTCTCTTGATTAATCTTAACACCTGAGCCATCTCATAATGGGAGATACGGTCTTTGAGAATATCGACTTCTGGGTTAGATACTCTTAATGAAAATTCCTGTTCCACATCTTCCAAGATCTGTGAAACAAGGTACAACTTGCTTCCGTAACTTTTATAACATTTGTGGTGTATTTCAGAGAAATGTGTGTTAATGTTTGTTGGCTCAGGCTATATCATCTACACTATGGCCTGTCTGTCCTCAAGGTGATGGTATAGGCTTAAATGTATATATTTCCCAATGCTTCTTTGCTGTCCGCTTTCCTTTCACTCCAGTAGTATGTTTTAAGAAAAGGGAGTGGACCATAAAGATTAGCTGATATCAGTTGCTACAGAAAGTGTTTAGGTGTACAATTTCTTAATAACATGATGAAAGGGAGGACACGTATGGGCACTTAAGTCCTGTTACCTCTGAACCGTTGTCATATAGAGAGTGAAGGCCTGAGGTGCAGATTCTCTTGCATTCATGGAGATTTCTCTGTGTGGTGCAGAAACTTGATTTCTAAAGGTTGTGTACTCTTTTTTTGGGCAACAGCAACTAGGATCCCTTTGCTAGCCTGGCCAGGGGCCATTCAGGCTGGGAGATTCATGGAGCTGCCGACTAGAGAAGAATGTTTTCCGAGCGCTGGTTAGTTTTATATGACAAGAGACAGCCTCCATGAATAGAATGAGCTCTCCAATTCATCCGTTCGCCCTCAGTGTGATGAGAATGGGCTGGAGCTAATGGATATGTCCTCCCACCTCATGTGTTGTGAAAATATAGGATTTGATATCCCCCCTGGGAGTAGCAGGGAAAGGGCAAGAATAGAAAAGGGCATGCTTGGCCATGCATTTAACTCTATCCTTGTCAGCCATGGAAGGCAGACCATCTAGGAGAAGGAAAACTCCAATATCAAACCTCCGCTGCCTTGTGGCTATATCCACTCATGGAAAAGGCTTCAGGAGTTAACCTCGAGGCAAAATCTGGAGCCGGTGTCCTGGAGGCAGTTCGTGTCATTCTGCCAACTCCGACGTCGCTGGAACCAGTTGTATCGGCTCTTGCCTTTCCATTGGAACATTTCAGCAACGTGGAGAGGGGGGATCTGCTGCTTGGGTAACAGCCTATCCTCTATACTACTTTACCCAGGCTTCATGCTCTGGAGAGGACACTTCTCGATACAGAGCATGTTACCATGGTCTCTCGAGACTGAAGGATGCCTATGAATGTCATGATACAGTTCCTGCCATCTTCCCCAGGTTTTCGAGCATATTTGCCACACTGGGACACGTACCTTACTCTGCGAGGGTTAAAAGGCAGCTTGTTGCAGATATAACACTCAAGAATAAAGGGCAGTCATTGAGCTGCATGACGGCAGAAACAGGTCTAAAGAGATCCTTTGACTCACGCTGCTTCATCAGAAGGGGCAGCACTCTACTTCTTTCTGACGCCAGCTCTGCCTGTTTCCCGTTGAAACCTGCTGAGCAGAAAGAACTGTTGTACTGTAGTTCACTTGTAAGCTAACATGCTCTTTTCCCCTGCTATCCCTTTGAGAAATGCAGTCATTCACAGCAGTATTTGTAAGCTTTACAGCTGAGATAGGCAAAATCTCTCATGTGGTTGTTGATGGACCACCAAATATTACATATTTGGAGCTTGGATCCTTTATATGATTTCGCAGTCTTTGTTGTAAAGTAGGAAGGCAGAGGCATTCTTGAATGGTGCATTACAGTGGTGCCTCGCTTAACGAGCGATTCGTTTAACGACGAATCCGCATAGCGATTGAGTTTTTGCGATCGCATAACAATGTTTTAAATGGGAAAACATCGCTTTGCGATGATTGGTAAGCAAAACGCTTACCGATTATCGCATAACGATGTTTTAAGAACAGCGGGTTGGCGGTTCCAAAATGGCCACCGGGTGAAGAAAATGGCTGCCTGCTGTGTGTTCGCACCCTTTCCTCGCTTACCGGGCAGCGAAAATGGTGGCCGCATGGAGGATTTCTGTATAACTGTGAGTTTTGTGCCCATTGGAACGCATTTAATGCGTTCCTATGGGCTTTTTTGCCCTGGAATGTATTAAATGTATTTTAATGCGTTCCTATGGGCTTTTTTGCCCCACATAGCGACGAATCCACATAGCGACGATTTTTTCGGAATGGATTGTCGTTGCTATGCGGGGCACCACTCTACTTCCTTTCAAGTGGTGAGCCTGGCCTGTGTGTGGAATTGCTGTGGAAGTGTCATTGCTGCTAATTCTCTGCAGAAGGGCTGCCAGATACCATTTGATGCTGTGACAATCACAACGGAGCCTAATCATACTCTCGATGCTTGATTACAGCTGGGCAGCCCTGCTCACGTCTCATTTGCATCATCTAGCTTGTTTTCCTGAGAGAAACAGATTCCACTCCTCACTTGGATTTGCTTAGTTTATATTTGCCTCACAGACCTCCTATCCTTCCCGTTTCAGCTGCTCCACAGAGCTCCCTCAGGGTTTGTGACTTCCGAAAGGACCTCAAGAGCTGATAGAAGAGCTGGGGCAAAAGTCACAAAAGTTTGTGTCTGTGTGTGTTTGGTTGTGGCTCTTGGTGGGTTGCTCAGTAAACATGTTGCATTGCACCCAGACAGACCACAGGTGCCTGCAACGGGCTAGCTGAAGTAGGCCTTTCTGCCTTTTCCTCCCTACAGCAGCCGGTCCCATCTCTGCAAGACTAGAAACAGAGGGTTGGGGAAATCTATCCAAAGAGGTAAGCTGTGGTGCAGGATGCTGAGCAGGATGGGGAGGGATTCCCGAAGTATAGGTGGAAATGCCTTTTTAAAGTAAAGCTGCATGCACAGACAATCTCTCTCTGTGCCTGATTTCAGGGGCAGGGGTGGGCCCTCCGATCTCCAGCCCTCTTCAGCAGTGCTTCCCAGTCATTTGTGTCTAGTACTGGGGAGGTGGGAAGGGCTGCTGTGGGGAGGAGAGGGTAGGGATGTCTGCTTCTGCCAGCCATTGCTTGGGCCTATATCTGGATTCAACCCCTCCCCGCATGAGGGATGTGCTTGCTTTTATGAAGTGAGGTGTCACATTGTTTAATTTTACCTGTTTGTTCTAGCATTCATCCTGTTCCTGAATTTGCGCTGGTTGGCCTTTCTGGGGGCTGTGAACCACAATTTGACCATCTGTCTTTTAGCTCACATGTCATCTTAATGCAACACTTCTGCTAGTAAGGCCGCTCAATTCCTCTTGTTCCAGAGAAGCTGGGTATTTATTGTAAGATTCCCACTGGCACATGGATCCTGTGTAAGGCACTCTGCTGCCGTAGCTGCTTCTTTCCCTTTCTTCAGACGTTGTGCCCATATGGCCAAGTTCCCTGTTGTTGTTGGATCCTGTGTGGGCAAAGCTCCTAGGAAGTGGGTACTGTACTTGTTGCCTTAAAAATAATTAACCTCGTAAGTGATGGATTGAACTTGAGGGCGCCATGCAGTGTGTTGCTTCAGCTGATGGGCATTCAGATCTACTTGCGCTGTCTGTCCTATGTTGATCATGGGTCTGCACAAATACCTAGTTCATTCAGTTTTTCCACGTTTGTCCAAACAGTACGTGTTCCTAGCCCAGAGTCTTAAAGGCAGCACAATCCTTTCCTGACCTGGTGCTCTGGATGAGTGTAGGCATCCTCAAGCATGCATGACTAATGGACTTTCTGGGTTATGGGACTTGCTGTTCTGTCCATCTCAAGGGCACTGAGATATGGAAGGTTGTACTACACTACTGTACTTATTTACAATTTCAATAAGGCTCAAAACTGTGAAAGCCCTCACGGATCAGATTATTTACCAATTGGGCAAGTAGAAGAGAAATACTAAAGCAAGTTGGGGTTGGGGGGACCTTGCCCTCCCAGATGTTTGTACTTTCCATTCCCACAGTTTCTTGCATTCACTGTGGCTTGTGAGGAGGTGCAAAATATCTGGAGGGCTAAAGATTTCCCATCTCTACTCCAAATGTACACTTTAAATTGCTTCTGTTTTGTCACACTGTAACTGCTACTACCAGTGGTTGCAAGCTTTACTGAAAATATTTGTTGGCTTGAGGATCTACAGGAATTACAGGGTTTTTTGTATTAATTGGATGCTATTGAAACAAAGGGTACCCAGTGTGGTGCAGCGGATAAAGTAATGGGTTTGGATGGAGGAGACCTGGAATTGATTCCCTGGCTGTGCCATGGGAACTCACTGGGGGAATGGACCTGGTTCAACCACTCCTCAATTACCTCACTTACCTTGAAAACTCCATTAGGGTGGCTGTAGTCAGCTTTGACTTGATAACACATAGCAGATTGAAACAAAAGTCTGGTTTGTACTCATAACTGGCTACTGATGATTAGCATTTGAAAATTCATGTTACCTTTTGTGAGGTATGGTGGGAGAGGGATGTTAAGTGGGGTTAGATTCTACTGAGGGTTTTAGTCACCACGTGGGAGCAATATACTGTATGTATGACTCTGTCCCTGGTTGCGTTTTCCTCTCCTTTGCTTTCAAATCATTCCTGGTGCATCTACATCTGTTATGTTTACATGATTTAACACTCTTGGCTGAAAACATGGGTATGGAATGTGGTTTGTTTCCCATTTAGCACCAGCTGTCAGCTGATAGCAAATGGTTCTGTTTATAACCATTTCACAGAAACAACAAAACGTTAAGGCTACATGTGATGATGCCCTTTTTGTTTTTGTTTCTTGTCATTCTTCCAGGACAGAGTGATCAATTTAGCTGTTGGCAGTGTAACATCCTTGCTGCTTATAGTAAGTATTCAGCTTTCATCTACCCAGCTAAGTCCATAGACCAAGTCTTTGGCAGTCACTTAGAATGGCTTTATCAGCTGGGACCTGCAACAAAATGCTGCAGTGGAGTCTCACCATCCAATAGGAGTATTGCTGTCCAGGATTTCAAGCAGCCAGTCACATCCTCCAGAACTATGAGCAAGACATCCTTATCCCCATATCCCCCTATTTCTTTATAATGCACAGTGAATATTGAAGGCTTAGTCTTCCTTGAGCTTCTTTGGCCTTGTCCCCCCTCCATGTAGGTGTGTTTTTTCCCTCCCTCTCCCCAACAAAAATGGTACTTCAGCAAAACTGTGTTCCTTGGACCATGCTGGAAACCCCCCTCTCTAGTCATTCAGTGGCTCTGTGTTAGTTTTAGTCCCGTTACCACTTGAATCTGCTAATAGAAATGATGATCATATCTCTGTACTTAAAAAGTGTACTTTAGGTCATCATACTAATTTAACTGACTCACTGTCTGTGGGATTGTCAGATTAAATAATGGAGATGTAGGTGTGTTTTTCCCCTCCCTCTCCCCAACAAAAATGGTACTTCAGCAAAACTGTGTTCCTTGGACCATGCTGGAAACCCCCCCTCTCTAGTCATTCAGTGGATCTGTGTTGGTTTTAGTCCCGTCACCGCTTGAATCATTAGAAATGATGACCATATCTCTGTATTTAAAAAGTGTACTTTAGGTCATCATATTAATTTAACTGACTTACTATCTGTGGGATTGTCAGATTAAATAATGGAGTTGGGAAGGAAGTGCTGACAAAAGGGACCAACAAAAACAAGCGGGAAGTACTACTGGTGTCAAGAGGATCCTGTAGTTTGAACAAATGCCCTGCTCCATCCAAGCTTCCACATAGATACCCTTCAGCTCAGAGAACACTACTAGGCCCAGTAGCTACAGCATGTTGCTTGCTCGGTACTTGGGGAAGGAAAGACGTATTCTGCAAGTCATGGCTCTTCTGGCTGGCACTGAAGAGGAGTATGGCTGTGAGGTGGCAAGGATCCACACCAAATTTTTGTTTCAGATCCCAGTTGTGTTGATATCCAGAGCAAATGCAGCCAGCAGTTATCACCCTGTCTTGCAGCAGTAGATTCCACCCATGAATGATCTTGAATGAAAAGCAGTGCCTTGTGAGGTCAGAATCTGTGGTCTGGAATATGAATGTAGTAGGCCATTTTATACTGAGGCAGACCATGGATCCAGTCAGTGCAGTATCGTTTATTCAGAGCTTGGAAATGTTAATTGTTTTGTACTACAACTCCCAGAATCCCCCAGCCAGTCATCATCCTGCCTGGAATATTGTGGGAGCTGTAATCCAGAAATTAATGTTTCCAAACTCTGCATTTACTGTGATTGGCAGCAATCTCCAGAGTTTTATACTGAGGCAGACCATGGATCCAGCCAATGCAGTATCGTTTATTCGGAGCTTGGAAATGTTAATTGTTTTGTACAACTCCCAGAATCCCCCAGCCAGTCGTCCTGCCTGGAATATTGTGGGAGCTGTAATCCAGAAATTAATGTTTCCAAACTCTGCATTTACTGTGATTGGCAGCAATCTCCAGAGTCATCCTCATGAGCCCTGCTGATTGAGATCCTTTTAATTTTAGTAGTTTTCATGTGCTGTTCTAGGGATGTTCATTTGGAGATCCTGAATTTCTCTTTGTGGTTTCTGACCCGCATAGATGGGTTAATTTTTTTTTGGTCGGCTTGTCCTAGATCTCAGCCGTCTCCCCTTTACAAACCTGTTTTAGCATTGGTAATGTCTTTTAAAAGATGTTTATATGAATGGTACCCTGTTTCCCTGAAAATAAGACCTAACCTGAAAATAAGCCCTAGTATGATTTTTCAGGTTGCTCATAATATAAGCCCTACCCCCCCCCAAAATAAGCCCTAGTTAAGTGAAAGCCCACCCTCTACCATAGTGCAGCAGCCAGAAGAAGTGACTGTATTTGAATAACTCTAGATTGTTGTACATAAAAAAACACATCCCCTGAAAATAAGCCCTAATGCGTTTTTTGGAACAAAAATTAATATAAGACCCTGTCTTATTTTTGGGGAAACATGGTAGTTAAATGTGGGGGTTTTGTGTGTGTGATTTTAAAAAAAGGAAGAAGACCAGAATCAGTCCAGACAGGGCCACTTGGTAGATTTGGATCTTTTATCCTGCTTCTTCCAACCAAATGCCCATCTGTAGTTTTACAAGATAAGCAAAACCCAGGCAGAAACCCTTTCCTGCATGAGGAATAACCCACTGCAATTATAACCCACACCAGGCTTGATTTTCAAGCTTGTTAGATGAAACAGGTGGTCAAAGGAGCTGTAAACACCTTTTGTTTCTAAGGGATTCGGCCTACACGCAGAATGTCTTCAGGTAGTATGACTGTGACTACTAACGGCATATAGTCTAGAACAGCCCAGCTGACTTTTTCCCCAGCTGGCTAAGCTCTTTCCCTTTTGCTCTAATAAAGAACAGCCGTGAATTAAAACTAGCACCCTGTTCTAGAGATACTTAGCAAAAGACATGCATGTTGTAAGTGCTTGAACCAGGAGGTATAGACCAGCCTTTTAAATAACCTCTCATGCTATTGGCTGTGGTAAGAACAGGTGGAAAAGACCCTTTAGCAAAATTGTCCAGGGATGGTGTTTCTTTTACGTCAAATGAATACATAAATAGGTATTGGCAGCCGGAGGAGTAGCTTTTGCAGATTTTGGAAAGTCTTATTTCTTTTACATCATCTGCTTTTGATTTCCTGAGAATAGTGAAATGCAAACTTGCAAATATCCATTATTTTAGATAAAGGTTCCTCTTAAAGAACAGGGAGATCCTGGCTATAACTAGTTATTTTATGGAAATGATTGTTCCTGGGGAAAATAACTACATGGAGTTGATTAATTTGTACTGTATTTCTATTGATCATATTAGATATGGTGAAGACAGCATATTTATCATTGGGAAATGCGTAACAACTGTCTTTTTTTGTATGAAGGTAACACCCTTGTATTCTTTTCTATAGGTCACTCTGATTAGTGCTTTTGTCTTTCCTCAACTACCTCCAAAACCGGTGAATATATTTTTTGCTTTCTGCATCTCCTTGTGTAGTGTTTCGGCTGGCATTCTTGTAAGTACTGCTACACTTGCTTATGTTCAGTTTATACCTAAAGTGGGGGCAGTATTCTGTAGGTTCATAGCTAATAAGGACTTTGCTAAATAAATGATTTAGAGTCATCTGGCCTAACAAGGTTTTAAGTCAGCTAGTGTGTAGACGCAAACAGAATGATTGTTGAAAACAGTAGCTCCTTTATTATTGGGATTTCCCTTGAAAAATAAGCAGTTGCCTCTAGAAATGTTGTATTTGCATATTGGGAATATTGTAGGGAGTTATAGGACAGGCAGGAAATGCAGGGCAGGACTCAGCAGCCCGCTGGGGAAAAGAAGTCATCACATCTGTTCTCACTCACTGCCAGCAGGCAGCCCCTAAAAAGGGAAGGCAAATAAGGTTCTGCACAGTTTAAAAGTATAATTCATTGGAAAGCTCTCTTGTACAGACTTCCAGGAAAATGGGACAATGGATTTATTTAACTAGATCCATGGCTGCGAACCTTTTTGGGTTCACGTGCCCAAACTGGGAAAAAAACCCACAAAAAACAGCAGGTGGAGTGCCGCTGCAGGGGTGGAACTGGAAGTGGTGGCAGAAGCAGGGGAATCCCGGCATGGAGGTGCCCCGAGACCTCACTCTGGATCCACTGCCAGCACCAGCTGCTCCAGATCTGCCTGCCGAAGTGCCAGCACTACGGCTGTAGCCGCCTTCTCAGGTTTCACTGTGCGGGTGGGCAGAGTAGCGATCTGGTGACTTATGGCTCGCGTGCCGGCAGAAAGGGCTCCGTGTGCCAGCTGTGGCATGCGTGCCATGGGTTTGCCATCGCCGAACTAGATTATAATTAAAGATAGAAGGAAATGTGACTCCCTTTGTGGTCTGAATAGAATGGTTATCTAAGTCCTGCTAGAGATAAATCATATGGGAGTGTGTATCTCCCCATGCCTGAAATAGTGTTTTCAAGTATGAAGAGTCTGTCACTTAGTAAATTAAATAAAAAAAATCTCACTGTCTGCCTTGGGCCAAATGTGCATATGGCAGGGGAAGGAAAGTGAGAATAGTGCACCTCAAAGCCCCATGAAGTATTCTACCTAGAAAACCCTGGAAAGGGTCACCATAAGTCAGAATTGGCTTGATGACACATCAAGGGAGGGCATGTGGAAAGGGTGAGTGTTGTACCACTGTGATAGCCTAAGAGGTTGTGCCTCTAGTTGGAAAAGTTCCTCTGACACGGTTATTTCTATTTTTCCTCTTGTGTCTTCCTTTTCCCTGCCCAGATCTACTGGTATCGACAAGGAGATTTAGAGCCAAAATTTAGGAATCTCATTTACTACAGTTTGTTCTCGATTATTATGTTATGTATATGTGCCAATCTCTACTTCCATGAAGTGGGGAAATGACCATTGTGTAGCATATCTTAGAAGATGTCAAGATAGTCCAGGACGCTGCTGGAGTCAAGTGTTTTCAGGATGGAGAACAGATTCCCAAATGGCAAAGACTTCAGTAAGGGAAGTGTCAAACGGTTACCTGAGATTTCACCAAGATGTGGATTTTCACACACCTCACAATCACTTGCAGTGGGGTTGAAGTATTGCCATATAACATCTCTGCTTTTTGGGGGGGGGAGAGGGCAGCTACTAGTGCACTTAATGAACATTCCAGCTGTGCACACTCGTTTCTTCAGAATGGCATGAGCTTTTTCCTTTTGGGAAAAAATGTATTTTTTATTACACTGTACAAAAACTGCAGCACTGCAAATGCCTGTACTACAGTATAAATAAAAAGGCATCCTACTGCTACAGAAGACAAATAGGTTCTTGCTTGTATGGAACTGAACACTGTTTTTTTCTGTTCTCTCTCCTAAGTGACTGTTTTGTTAACTACAAATCCATTTTCACATGAACAAAGCCACAGACCGAAGACAAAACTGACTTTTGAGAAAGCTAATTACAGCAATAAATATTATCCTCTTTTTACATATCCTTGTAGTATTCTGAGTTATGTTTTCTACGCAAGTTACACACTAAGCACAGCTTAGTGCCCTTAACAGCTCTCCTGTGTGCACCGGAAGACTCTGCTCATCATGGCCTTATTTAGATGAGTTTCTGTTAAATGGTAGTCCACAGTATTACTGCCATCTTTGTTACATCACATGCATGTGTGGTGGTGGTTTTAGCTTCTCAACAAACGTTGGTAATTCCTGCTGTTTGTTCACTGGGTGAGGGAGGAGAATTCCATTGTCTGATGCCTGTTGTTCCTCCTATGCTCAATACTGTAGCAAAAAAAAAGTGATTTCTTAAACGTCTCCCATCCATTGCCAGCAACAGATTGTTTTGTAGCTGTCAGGATTACAACTGTAAATCTAGCAATGTTTCATACTGCTTCCTACAGCAGAAGTAACAGTATTGGAAAAATAAGACTTTTTTTCCTAATGCCGTGCTTTGCTTTTTGTAGTTACTGCTGTGTAACCATTACTGTGGTCAGAAACACAGAGGTTAATGATATATGAAAAGCAAGAACTGTTCTGTGCAGAGTGTCACTCATTGCCTTGCTGGTCCAAAATATCTTAACTCCCTGACATTTTCTATGTAGTTCCAGCCCCAAGGATCCTAAGAAAGGATAAGCACCACCATTAGATGAACAGCCTGCTAACACCACCACCCGCAAGTCTTAGCTTTGATCAGCTCTAGCTGTATCCCTTTTAAAAGCACGAGGTCATCACATTTCAGTGGCTGGCGCATGTGGAGTGAACCTATCTCAACAGATACTTTCTTCAAAAAGTTCGTTCAGGGTTATAGACAGCTGTGGCATGATACAAATATGTCACACTAAGCCATGGGACATTCTTAGTGGCAGCTCACTAAATCTTCAACATCCTTGGAATCTTCCGAACCAGGACTATCCAAAGAGGAGCCAATAATATGGGAATTCTCTCCATGGTGTTGCAATATAGGATCTGGAATTTTTAAAAAAATGCACATTAAGTGGTTGCAAATTTACAAAGAGTTAATACATGTTGCTTTATTAATTTATGAAATACGATGCAGTCTCAGTTTCCTATGCTGGTGATACATAGTGGCTAACAGTGGCGCTTCTGAATTGAGAAGTCGATTGTATATACCTCACACATGAAATTTAACTAAAACATACATTCTCTGCTTGGATTGGATAGAACCAACACACTAAACAGGGCTAGAAATATGAAAGGACTCAATCTGCATAAGCCCTTTCCTTAAAGATACCTCGCAACTCAAGATGGCATCACCTTATTCTTAAGAGTACCTCTAAGCTGGGACGGCTGTGACTGGTAAAATGTATAGAAGATAGATCCAGATCTCTAAATGACTGTTCTTCATCTTCTAGAAATCTGTTGAATGACTTGACTAGAGTAGGCTCCAGGGTTCTGGGCAAACTTTGTCTAACTTTAATACAGCACTTGATAACCACATCTCTAGGAAAAGAGCATTAATTCTCAGAATGGAAAGGGACAAGAAGTGTTTTATTGATCATAACAAGAATTGACAGGGAAGATAATCAAAGTTTACATTGTAAGTCATGTTAAAAGGGCCTGGGTCAAGGAAAAGATCTAATCATGCATTCTCTCTGGTCTCACTTAGAATTAAAGAAAGAAGCCTTGGGTTTATGTACTCTCTTCTTCAGTTTAAAAGTGGCGCTCCCATGATTTCTGAACTCCGAAGAAAGCACAGTGCCAACTTCCAGCAGCTTAGAAAAATCCAATTTTTCTTTTAAGAAAGTTCTCCTAATTTGGAAGCAGAGCTAACTTAGACAAGGTGGAAGAATCCAAAATCCAACGCCAAAGTCAGACACAGGGAAACTACTCTGCTTTTAAAGTGGAAGCTCCCATGTGTACATAAGTGTAAGGTTTGTTCTTGTAATACTCATAGGACTGCCACCCTACTGTATGTCAGACAATTCCCTGGAGGCCAGCCAGGGTGGCCACAGTTAAGTCCAACAAGACCCAGGCAGTTTCCCCACATCCTCTGGAATAGCGGAAGATGCTTTAAAATTACAGCCAAAGACAGGTCCGCGGATGTGCACATGTGAGAAAGAGGATCAAAAGCAGAAGAAATAAAACACTGGCCATTACTAATTCATCAGGAGTATCACAAGTGCCTTCTGTTTCACCATAGTTACCTGTCAGTGTTGTTAAAGGCAAAACTGATTCGTTGTCTATATCATCTGGTGTGTGAATAAAACCCCGGGGAGAAGGTACTATGAGAACCGTTTCATCCATGGTAGACTGTTCAACTTCTTGTTCTTCTGTGGCTGGAGATCTGAGATCCTAGTATGATAAAACACAAAGATTTTCACAGACTAGAAGCATGCTTTTCATAAGGCCTATTATAGGAAAAAAAGCATCCAAAGTAGGTTGCAGTGAATAAACTGCAGTGGATAGATGACGCAGACTTCTTCACAATAGTAAGTCCAAGATGTGAAGATTCCCCACAGATTCAAAGAATAGCTCTGTGGTTGCTTGATAACTTCTTTGCCACAATGAAGGAGGAAACAATTCACCAGTACATTTCTCACTTTCTATGTGGCCCTGAAGAGAATAGGCCACGACTAAGAGCAATGTTCCAGAAAAGCTATAATGAGAATCTCCCAACTCAAACGTCTGCTATAATATGGTGGGAGGAAAAGTCTTTAATAATGGGTGAAAATCACATGGCCTGTGAACCATGCTGTATTTCTGGACTCCAGAGCTCCCATAAAACAAACAAACAAACAAACAAAC